AACTCACCATCAGTAACAGCTGCACAGGAGTTGACTCTGAGGAGGTGTTGCTGAACCTCTGAGATTTTTCAGCTGCTCCCTCTGCTCTCAGCCTTTCCTTACTGACCAGCACCAGGCTTCTCACTGCACATTGCTTACTCTCCCCAGACACTCAAGAGCCCCAAGGGCTGCAGGGGCAAATTAACACCCTGTTATGGTTCCCCCTTCCCTTCCTGCACCTACATTTCAGGTGCCTCAACACCCAACTTCTGAGTCCCTTTCTGACCCAAACTCAGAGTTATTCACTTCAGATGAGAATGGAAATCTGCAGCTGTGAGAAAAGAGCCTGCCCAACATAACACAACTACATGTACATATTTTAGATTTTCTTTATTTATATTTTTAAATTCAAGAATTACACACTAGCCAACATTATTATATATTTACATGCTGAAACTGGCTGCAATAATTTTAAATTCAAGAAAATATCTCTTATGTGCTACTCATTTACAATCATCATTTTACTACCTCATAAATCCCAGAGGTTAGCAGTCCTTTTGAGAAAGACATGAAGATCTGATGCAATGATATCCACTAGTATTTTGCATTTTCTAGCCATTGGAAAAATGTGCATTATGTGCATATAAGAAAGGCTACAAGGTCATTAGTAAGGCTGATGATTACTACATTATGAAATAAATAGTACTAAGTAAAAGATAACTCAGAACTGTGCAAAGACAGTACTAACAGAACCATTTAAACACCCATGCCAATAAAAACGTGATAGAAGTCAAATCATAGGCAGTTTGTCAGAATTAATCATGTTTCAAATGTTCTTTTTGTCTTCAACTGAAAGTAACAGGACAGACCATGAACCATACAGCCTGGTGAGTATCTGCCAAATGACAGGAACAGTGAAAACATACAAAATGCTATCAAATTGGAATAGATGACCTCATGTCTGAAAAACATTAAAAAAATACAACCCTTAGTATGAAAGTAGAGGTGAGATTTTTCATCATTTAAGTTTCATTTTTTTGTCAAAGCACTTACAAAGAAAATAATTTTATATTTATGAAATGCTAGTGTTGCATATTCTTGTAGAGATTATCTATTTCAATTTTATATAATGGATATTTAAATTATTTTTATTTTTACAAAGTAGAATAGGGCAGTCTTTTTGATCAACAACGTTCCATTTGCTTCTTAAAAATTTAGACAAAGTTCCTAGTGCATTTTACTAAGCTTTACCTTTGGTGTTAAGCAGTGACTTTTTAGATTTCCCTTTTAAACAATTTCTGGAGTGAAGATTCTTTGGCTTTGGGGGACTATGCTAACGACAGTCAAACATCCTGGATTTTTTTTCTTAAAGAAAAATATAAGCCTACTATTAATTACCATAAGAGACAGATTTCAGAATCGGACAGATGCAATATGCAGGCTTCTGTAATGAAATCGCCGACAGCTGAATTCTCACTTACATGGACACCTTCACCTCTCCACTCACTGGAGCAACATCAAGGTGCCTCTTTGTAAGTGAAAACCAGGCCCTGTTTGTTTGTTTTGGCTAGTCTGAGTACTGAGTGTGGCCTGAACATTTTAACCATACAAAAGAATCAGCTGTGCCAGCAGGAACGTAGCCACGGTGGCTATTTTACACTACAGCACTTCCTGTACTATTTTATATCTGGAGTCCAAATCTGTTTATGCAAAAGGGTGTTTAAATTACTCTGCTAGAGCACTGCAATTATTGTACTTAGTAAAAAAAAGTCACTAAACAAATACTGTATCTATTGACTGCTCATTTACAGCTTATTTAATTATTTACATAATTTTAGGACACATTAACCTAAACCATAAGTAGAATTAGCTTTTTGCCTTACCATAAAGTACAAATTAGAAGTTAAAAATGTTTAAGAAATCTGATAATATTTACACACGTTCAGCTTAAGTTATGGTTGCTCACATCGTATGTTCTATGTACACATAGCAAAATGTTTTGATCACTACTGATATAGTATTGTACCCTGGCCATCCCACCCTAGATTATTTTTCTAGAAATAGTTACTATTTTTGCCTTTTTTTTTTCTTGGTTCCCTAAGGAATTTGTTGGTTTTGAAAACTTACTAGTGGACAATGCTGTTATAAAAAGAGAGAGAAGAAATAGGCAAGCAATGTGAGGACTAGTCTAATTCCAGATGCAAGGAGGTACAGTACTATCATCATGTCAAACGGTGCAATATTCCATACGAATCATAAGCATTGATCTGCTGATATAGAAATGCCCAGTTACCCTGTCGAGTTAGTTGTTTGGTTTTTTTCTAAATACATTACTCTTTTTTTTTTTTTCTCAAAAATATATTCATACACTGGTTGATGATAGAAACAAAACTATTATTAGCTTATTCCTTTAACACACCAACATGTGAATGTGTGTGCATATATATATATATATACTCAGCACGTGTATATATACACACATATGTCCATACAGACATTTGGGGGTACGTCCATATGCACATACAGTTGGAAAATGTTTCACATCTGTTACTTATGTTTAGCACTGTGTTATAGGATTGGAACACAGTCTAATATTTATAGTGAAAATAAATTGAGGTTTAATTTTAATGCATGTTTTTCTGAAATAAATAGGATATTTTTCCCCAGGTATAAGACCACCACTTATTTTCTCTATGCATTGTGCTTTTGTAGCTTACGGATTTTATGCCTTTTTTTATTAGAATGTAAGAACTCTCTGAAGAACTCTGCCACATGCTGTTTTCTAGGACTCTTGTTTTCCTCCCCTGGGAATGAGAAAAGAAATGGTCACAATGTCATTGCTTGAGTCTTTCTTCCCAGTCACTGAACTGCGATAGGATAGAAACATAACATTCCTTATGCAAACACAGAAATATGTTGCATGAATTTTCAGTTCTGAAAATGTGTATCATACTTACTAGCAGTCATGTACAGTATATATTTACAGATTGATCTCAAAGATTTCATTAAAACTGTGCCATGTTATAGTCATAATTCCCCCATGAATTTCGCAAAGATGAAAAACACCTTAATTGCTGGCTATTATGTCTAATAGAACAATAAAATGTGCAACTATAATTATATTACAAGTTTTTATCTAAATTATTAACTTTGCTATTTTGTTTATTGAAACCAACAACAATTAACACGATTAAAAAGATCTAGAATATTTATTTTCGGTCAATTCTAAAGTAAAAGCAAATTTATTCTAGTTTACCTGGAGGGTAGCACACATAGCAAACCCCATGACTGTTGGCATCATTTCCCACTTTCACTCAAGTATCTCAGGAGTAAGTGCTTACCTGGGGCTCGAGTTCTGCTTTTTCCTTGATAGTGCCTCACCAGCCTTTCTCACCCCCATCTTTTTATATCACAGTGTTAAGCCTTAGTACAAAATGGTAGAATCTTTCTCTTTCACTAATTTTATACATCACATTAATAGCCAGAAGAACATAGTAAAAGCAAAAGTGCTCCTTCCCCACAGATAATTTATCTTTCCTAGTGACACCTGAGCAGAAACCAAACATTTTCTTTCACTCTCTGAATAGCAATATCAGAGAGTATTATGGCTTGTACTGTAGCTTCAGAAAAGTGAATGTGCAGTTCCAGGATTCAATCTCTGTGATTTTTGTAATAGCTGAAGCAGTTACCAATGCAGAGAGTCAACACATTCCCTGTAAGGTTTTATATTTGATGTGTATCAACCACAGAAAGGCTGTGAGCTCCCTGCAGTCACACTCTGCGTCTGTGAAACAATAAAAGGAGCTGTCAGCAATTTCTGAAATGAAAGAAAAGCTTGTACAGAAGAATACCATAAGACTGCTTTCATTTAGGATAATTAATATAATTTTTAAAGAACATACTTTGAAGGGAAATACTGAATTTTGATATACTCCATTTCTTAAAATTGGGGAAAAAGAAATCCAACATGACTCATACCTAACAGCTGAAATCCCAAGTGCATCTACAAAGGTTATTGCGTTATGCATGAAATGCAGTCACAAATTAAGTGTGTGAACAAAGAGCAAAATTTTGACTTGGAAAGTTAATCACATGAGGAAAACCTGTCTCTACATATTGCAGAGTCTGAGCCTGGAGGCAGTGTGTGAATGCACACAACTTCCTGGCAGGTAGGGTGTATTGCAAATCCCATCCCAGGCTCTGAAATTATCCTCTCTTATTTGAACCAGAAATAAGCATATAAAGTGCTCAGAAAAAAGTCAGACTATTTGTCTATTATTTCCCAGAACTATTCTCCTGTTAGCGTCATTCACTGTCAAATAGGGAGAGGGGGGAGAAAGCAAAAATAAAACCACAGAAACTTGTAAGAAAATTACTCTTTTGAAGAAGAAAAAAATTAAAAAATATATTTTATGAAAAATATTCTAAAGAATTTTCTTTAGTACCCTGAAAAACCACTTATACTCTCTAGTCTCTTTCAAAAATTTGTACACGGATGAGAGGTAGTATGGATGCAACAGATGTGGCTTTTGCTTCTTGAAACATTGTGTCAAACAATATTGGGGATCTGATCTAGTAAAAGCCATCAAGAATTTTTACCTTTTTTTTTACAGTTCTTGTGACTGCTATTTTCATTACAAAAAGAGTTCCACAGTGGAATAAGTGACAAATTTTTTTTTGTCTAATTTTTTTTTTCTATTCTGTTTTGCTATTTTTTAAAAATAAAGCTCAATGGAATGAAAAAAACCTCAACCTTTTAATTCAAGAAGCTTCCCAAAGAAAAACACATTTTCTAGTTTTTCAATGGAAATCACCCTAAAGCAGGAAACATTCAAGAGTGTACTTACACTCTAAAAGTGATTGCTATGAATTTCTTTCCTTTAGAACAGTGCATTAAGGAAAACAAAAAGTGAAATGGTATTGCCTAATACACTCTAAAAGTGATTGCTATGAATTTCTTTCCTTTAGAACAGTGCATTTCTTTCCTTTAGAACAGTGCATTATTCCATCATAAACAAAATGTGAAATGGTATTGCCTAACCCAGACTGAGGAAAGACCCTGTCAGTACCTCTTGTACAGAAATATATATGCTCAGATCTCAACTGCTGGAAGAGGTACAGAACCTTTAACTAAGAGCAGGAAGCATAATGCTGGAAAGATGAAAACCTGGAAGAAATCACACAACTCCACACAACTATTTCAGAATAATGTGTGTACATCTGACAACATTCATCTGCACTGTGTATATACATACATATACATATATATACATATATATATATATATATATGTATATACACACACACACTTTTATTTATGTAGCCTCCTGTCTCCTTGCCCCTGCACTTTGAAACTGCTCTCTCACTCTCCCTGCCCTAGAGAAAGGCAGGGCACCACTAGCTCCCTTCAGCCATCTACAGAATTACTATTTGGGCAATTAATTTTGGCACTTTGGACAGATTCCCTTTCCTCAACACAACCCAGCAGCATCTACCCATTCAGTGCTGATGCATTTTTATACTGTCCCTACATTCCTCTACTGATCCCAAGCACAGTCACTGTGACTGAGCATACGTTCTCTCTTTAAAATACAAACAAACTAGTGCTTCTTGCTTCAGCTTCTGTGCAAACACCCAACCCCATTATTATCAGTCAAAGGTTCAGTTCTTTCAATAAATAAAAGGAAATACCTGAATATGGTTGGGAAACCTCTGACCATCATCATCTTGGAAAGATGATAGGCACTACTTGTTTTCAAGTTTACACATTTAAAAAGTAAAGTGTATGTGTTTTATAAGCATGATAACTCAGTACACTCTCTTAAGTGTATATGCATGCCTTGGATATGTACTTTCACTAGAATGGCATGTACTGCTGATGAAATTAAAACTTATTTCTCAAATGCTGCTCTATAATCTGTACCACTAAACTCAAATGGCCATGAAAAAAAAAGAAAAAAAAAAAAAAAGAGTGAGGGACAATGAGACAGAAGTGATTTTCAAAACGCAATTTGCCTTTACACTCAAAATGCACTTATATTTTGATAAGGGGATATGTCCATACTGCAACTAAACATATATACGGTTTAGCAGATACAACCAAAACATTATAAAAACAGACCATAGAGTGGGCCAGCAACTAAGGTGTTTTAAAATAACTTTTTGTCCTGAATAGAATTTTTCCAAGTCCCACTTTTGGCTGTACAACTGATTTGAAGAGAAATCCAGTTCTTTCCTCCTGCGTGGCTTTGTTTCTTAGTTCACATAGTAAAGCCAATAGACAATATTGAAGAAGGAAAAAACAACAGGGAAGAATATGCGAGACCATCGATCTATGGCATTGACATCAGTCAAGTCAGGGATGGTGATTTTCAGCTGGGATGCGCGTCTCCGTAGCCGGCTCTTCTTCTGTGCCACGTGCCGCTCCAGCGCGTTGCGGCCGAAGCTGTGCCTGGGCAAGCCGGCTTTGCGGTACTGGATGCTCGAAGTGTCATAGGCCAGCATTGTGCTCCTAGGGTCCCCAAGCCCCATCACAGCCTCCGAGGCAGCCATCTCGTTTTTAATTTCCAGTGTGCTCAACAATATGTTTTCGTGCGGGTCCATCTGTAAAAAATAACATGGTGGGTTTAGCAGGAGGGAAAGGGAGCCCAGTCAGCTGCAAAGTGAAGCCATGCTGATAAGGGCCATATCTAGCATTACTAATTGATTGGATGTCAGCCTGAAAGACTCTAAGCATAGCTGTGATTATATTTATTATCATTTACTTGTGACCTCAAGGAGAAATAGGGCCAGTATAGTATAATGCAATAAATGGTATTTCCCTGGACCCAATGCTCAGCAAGCACAAGCAACACCTGGGAACAGAGAATACACTCAGCTCCTGAAAGTGGCATTCTGTCACTGAGTAGGAGATGTGGGGCAAATATTGAAATTTTCAGCAGTTTTGGAAGGAAATTGAGTGGAAAAAGATCTGCTTTGTTTTGGTTTTTCTTCTTTCAAATGAAAGCTTTGGCTCTGGAATAAACTTCCATTATTCATGAGGTCTCACCACCTCCATGAATGAGGTACAGAGCACTGCACAAGAGAATGCACATTTTAGGTTCCCATATCCCAAACAGGAGTGCTGGTTACTTGGGGAAAGGCAATGGCATAGTCTAGCTATAGCTATGTGGAAACTCCATGCCCCAGTACTAATAAATTTCTTCAATACAGCGCATGCTGTAATAGCATGCTGCTGTAATAGCAGAGATCTGCAATTTCAAGCAAGGGAAAAGATATGCAGAATGTAATCACATCAAATGTACATTGAACAGTTGTTTCAATGGGTAGACTTAGCTGCTATGCATTGTTTAAAGGCAATTCAGTGAAAAAAAATATGAAAGCAATATTGTAGAGAAACCCCTCAGACAAGAGGATTTCAAAGATAAGGAACTAAGTTCCACTCTTAGGCAATCTGGAGAAGATCTGGGGTGTGGAAGTAGATTTTAAAAAAGAATACATTTATAGAAAACAAAAGTTATTTAGGGAAGTTCTAATTCTTCTCAGCCATTTCTCTAAGCGTGTATTTTGAATTGTGCGATAACAGATTATAATTAACTAAAAGTTCTTAAAAACAATAATAGCTAATGAAAAGCTAGTTAATTACATTGAATTAGTGATGGTAGTGCAGATATACTCCAGGCCAATTAAGAGAAAAAACTGTCCCAGAGCTCCTTTCAGAACAACTCAGCCACATTATTCATTTATTATGTACAGAATGTATGCTATGATTATTACTCAAAGTGCAAAAACTGTGACCTTTGTGGATTTCTAAACAAAAACAGGGTATTGGTATATTCTGTAATGTTTAGAAACTAGCTGTCAGCAGCACATACCACCCTGCACTGCCCAGTGCAGACTGTGTTCACCATTATTAAACCCCCTATGTAATATTTACCATGGAGAGATGAGAGAACTGGGTTTAAACCAGCTGCTTTTTAGTAGCACCCCATGTCCAGTGTTCTGAACTGAGAAGTCAGACACTCACAAAGGCACTTTGGACCTACTGAAACACTGTCATTTGAGTGATTACATCTGTTCAAGTGATGCACAAAACCTAGTGTTGCTGAGATGACAGATTTCCCTCTCTCTCAATTTTTCCTCCAATCTGTGTGAGTTTGCACCCCTCTAGTTTCATTATATTTTAATTACAAATCAAATGTCATGACTCAATGTGAAAGAGACAAAATCTTTCTTTTTTGCTAGCTTTTCATGAGAGACACATGACATTTATGAAATTCATAGTGTGGGAAATCAATCTTGAAAAGCATTGGAAAAATGTGAGAGTTGAACTGGAACTACTGAAAAATTCCTTTAAGAGTTCTGTAGCATGATATTGATATTGAGCATAGTGAGGGAATACTGCTTCTACCCAGGAAGTCCATCAAATCAGTTCTTATCTGCATTGGACAGATAATAGTAGTATTCTGCTATTGTAATTCCAACAAAAGCATATATCTGCAAAAGCTTTCAAATAGATCTATGAAACTTATCAAGATGGACTTCAAACATTATTTTCTAATAAGTGTATTTATTTGGAAAATTCTTTTGTGATTTTTTTGGGTGAAACAAAAGGGGACTCATGTTTGTTATTAGATCTCAGACCAATCATAAGACTCTCAGGGTCCTAAAAATAATTAATTACAGGCATTTGGCATTCATTGATCCCAAAATGTCTAAAATCACAAGAGGTAAGTTTCCTGCATGAGGGGTGCAAATTCATTTGGAAACTACATTTCCTATATTTTCATATAACCTAAAGAAAAGAAGTTTTAGTTCCAGTGACATCAGGGGAAGTTGGATATAACATCCACTAATGTAATGGGTTTACCCTTTAGCCCAGAGCCTGGGTTATTTTCACCTCAGTGTTGTGCATTCTAGGATACTATTTTGAAAATATTTTAGTGCCAACAATTTTTTTTTCACATCTTAAATCTTCTTAGGATGAATCTACTTTAAGCATTTTATCCTTTTGATCTGCAATGATATTAGAAATTTGAGTGCTCTTTACATATTTGCATACATTCTATGCAGCACACATGCAAGAAAGGCTATTTTAGTCTGCTAAAGTTAGACACAAACATGTTTTAGCAACATGATATCACTCCAGTCAACTTTTTTTCTTAATGCAGCAAAATGCTGCAGATGTCTATAATCTTGGCAGCAGTTAGTAAGATTAGTGATGCTGGGCAGAAAAAAACATTAAGCAATATTCTAAACTATCTTCTAGGGAAAAATGTCTTCTTCTGTACATATCACACTCATATCAGAGTTGAAGCACAGCATTACATTTTTCAATATTCCAAGGCTTTTTCAGAAGAAATAATGCAAAATACAGTAAATATTAGAGATGGGCGAATCTTCAAGTGTTTCAATACCCAGGAAAACTCCTCAAAGTTCTGTTGTTTCTTGAGAACTAATTTGACCTCCTGTGTCTGGAATAATGAACTGACCATAAGAATAAATGAATTTTCTTAAGATATTTTGAATTTCCAACAGGGAGGGAGGGAGGGAAGGAAAGGAAGGA